TTATAGTTGATAAGGGGAGTCACTAGAGCACGTTAAATATTTTTCTTATTATAACTTTCAGGTAAGAACAAACCCCTGATTAGAAGAACGATATAATTTTGTTAATGGTGAATATTACCAGATATTCTCCCTCCCCCCTTATGTAATAAATGCATTATTTCATTCCTCTTTTTTAAGTATTTAAATATTTTTTAAAGAAAAAGGTTGAAATGCTAAGTTTAAAATGGGTTGTTTCAGAGCTCTTTTATGAAAACTACTTGATTTTCGTCAGGAGAAACATTCCCCATTTTCATGTCCCACATTATTTTTACAAACCAACAATTTCGTTGAAATTACACGTAAACTAATTTTTGCAATGACAAGCGAGAGAAGAAAGTCATCGGCAAAATTTGTTGCAGACTTCGATCTGTCAGACATGAGAAAACCGCCATGCCAAAATCTTTTTGATTTTCATGATGCGGCAAAAAAACGTCCCAAAATTTGGCGCCCAAAAATTTGCTGCCCTAAGTTCAAGCCTGCTCATCCTGTTGGTAAATCCGCCTATCCGTAAGATATCTCGAAGCCGCCATGCCAAAATATTTTTGATTTTCATGATGCAGTGAAAAAAAACGGTCCCTTAATTTGCCGCCCCAAAAATCTGCCGTCCTAGGCTCAAGCCTACTCATCCTGCTGGTAAATCTACCACTGAGCATTCGTGTCCCTCAGGAATTCATATTATCTCCCCACCTTCTTCTTTTATACATAAAGGAAATTAGAAATAGCCACTTCAGACTCCCTTTTTCCTTTAAGAAACCCCACCATCAGTTTCAGCAGGTTGCAGCTGCTCATTCCTTCGAGCTTCAACTTTCCAAACTTCTCAAGAACGCTTGCATTTGTAGAACGACGTCCAGTTTCCCAAATGTAAATAATCGACAACGTAAACCGTTACTTTGTAAAAATGACTACACATGTTTTGAACTGAAGTTCATTATATAATACTGGAGCTATAGTCACTTCACCGTTACTTTGAAAGGCCTGCTTTATTTTGAATTTGCGGATTTGGCTGTGGTACTCCTAGTGATCTTGGCAACAACACTGGAGAACGAACAAAGTTGACCAACAAATATATTTCTTGTTCCAATTTCTCTATTGTGGATTGTAATGGATCCTAAGGTTTTCAAGTCTCTCAGCACTGCGACCTATCAGGTCTTTAATACATAACCCTAATCTGCTCAAACCAATTTTATTCGCATTCCGGAATATTAAGACCTCTGAAGAAGTCAATCAGTTACCTGGTTTCTGTGCCGTGCTGCCATAAGACATCAGGACTAACCCATCAAGAAACTTGCCTGTTGCAAAGCAGAGCTTTGCATTCACAAATGTTTTTATGAATCAGCGGCAATAAAGATCCGTTCTGCAATCTTACTGGTTTTTACTGGAAGAGTGCCCTTTAAGTAATCCTGTTGTCAGTACCCAACATATCTAGCCAACAATAGAGGCTGGTCAGCTTCCGTCAGCGGTAGCCTGATCAACTTTTCTGGTTGTCTTTGTCTTGACATTTCAGAAAACTCGCTAACCAAGTTATCATCATCAGAAGTTGATGCTAACTTGATTAGCAAAACTGGCGTCGAGGAACAACATTTTTGTTCTGGTGAGGAAAAGGTGTTTTCATTAGATCCATTTCATGCCAAAGATTCTAAACTATATTTATCATTTGTGGAAACTTTCCCAGTCCCCAGTTTAGTCACAAGTACATCTCTGAAGCTTTCAGTATTGGTCGACTTTCTGATACATTGTGGAATCTTGCTGGGGAAATACCAGATTCTCAGATGTATATGTCTCTTTGTTCGAAAGATGTGAAAGGTAATTTCAAATGTCTTGCCAATATATCAGTGGATTTCAACGTGGTCAAGTAAAACAACCCAACGACGAATATCGTCCTACCTTAATGATCGAGGATACCTACATCAGACTGATTGCTTGTATCAGCCTGATGGTGGGGAACGAATAGTTCCAATAAAAGAAGCGAACCAATATAATCTACTGATGATGCTTCTCTGTATATGTAGAGTAGGGAGGGTGAGTGTAAACCCACAGCACATGTGACCCATTGTACATCCTCCCGAGGAGTTGTCCTCTTAGGCCATCGTCCATCCTGTCTTTTCTAGGAAGGTAGACAGGTAACTAGGAGGCAGCTCCTTCATATCGGCAGGTGTAGGTCAAGACTCGCGAAACACACACTCTCTTATTGACGATAACTCCGGACACTCGCATAGGACATGCCTGACAATCTCATCTTCCTGTTCACACATCCTGTATGAGGTGTGTCTAATAGCCCCATATTATGGAGGCGTTTCCTCAGTCGACAGTGGCCAGTCAGAAATCCTAGTGTTAAACGTAGATTTTTCCCGGTCATCGCCAGATATTTCTTCGGCGCCAGTTTCACAGGATCGCCCAAGGTGGTCCTGGCAAGATTGCATCCTTTGATTCCATTCCATCTCTTTAAGGATTGAGCATGGGTGTAACATTTGACTAGTTTCGCAATTGTCGTCATCAGGCCGTAGGTTCCACTGGGTCCTAAAATTCTTAGTCCAGCCGCTTCCTTGGCTAAAGAGTTAGCAAAGCGATTACCCTTACTCCTGTCGTGCCCTTTAACCCACTTCAGGATAATGTTATTATCTACCGAGGCTTTGGCTAAATCTTGGTGATACTCTAGTACTAGCCCTGAGGTTGTACGTTGTCTGTTCAAGGCTAATAGGGCTTGTCTGGTATCAGTGATCTGGAGTAGACTCCACATCCCGAGCCTTCTTTGGTTTTTAAGCCGTCTGTATATATGCGTAATGCATTTGTAGCATCTGACTCTGTGTCCTGTTTTATTTGTATTTTGTAGGGTTCATTAAACACAAACCTGGGTACGATTGCATCACTGGTTGTCTGCAGCAGAGGTTGCGCAGTAAACGCTTCTCGTCATAGGCTCTGATGATGCTTACTTATGTTCTGGTGTGTGGAAAATTAATTAAAGTTAACCTTGATTGAGGAATCTGTCTTGTTTTTTTGCTCAGTTTGTTTTATACTCATTCCATTAATGTTTCGATATACTGTTATTAATAGTTAATTCAATGAGTCGAAATCAATAAGAGTATAATTAATTCCTTTCTATTCGAGCACTGAAATGACCGTGATAACTAGACTTCTGTTGTCTTTCGAGTAATTACGAGAAAGTAATATCGAGAACAGCTATGTGATATGTTCTGTACACTCTGGCATTGTTAATTATTACTTGTTTACGAGCTGGGAGCTATTACATAAACAGTTCCTTCATAACCCACTCATTATCTATTCAAAGTCATGCTTTCCGTTCAAACCACAACCTGCTGTTAACTGAGACATTATTTAGGCATTCAAGACGTTCACATCCCGTCTATGACAAACCACAATGGATCGCGGCGTGCGTGTCGGGTTGATAAAAATGCGATATATTTCTATTTTTTGCACATCCGCTCGTTCGCCCAGGAAGTATTTTGCACATGTCTGTGAGAGCAAACGAATTCCAATGATTCATGAAGTGGAATTTCAGTCTCTGTACGCTGATAGCCACGACATAGTAAATTCAATTTAACAATCCGATAGTCGCGCCTTTCAAATCAACTTCAATGATCGCGGAGGTCTGTGTTTATGCTCTAAATGAGTGAAAATGTAGTTCATTGCCATAATTCAAACTCCTTTATTGCGAAAAGTGAAATTTAGCGAAGTAAAAGATAATAAAACCCGAATGAATAATTCATTCAAGTGACACTGAAGACTTTACTACATGTGTTTCACTATACAATAGTGAAAAAATCATGTGGGAAACTTTCCAAAGAAGGAATAAAGCGATTGGTTTCAAAATGAACTCTTTACAAAGATGTGTAGAACATGCAAAAAGGTAATTATATGGAGTGGTTTGAAGCTCTGGCCGTTGAAAAAGCCCACAAGAAGCCCCGAGTCTGGTTGACATACGTTGACGAAACTGTAATAGTGTGGAACCATCGAAATACAGACACCATTCTGAAGCACATCAACAGCGTAAGACCTTCCATCACCTTCACAATGGAGGAGGAAGTCCACAACGAATTGCCATTCTTAGACGTATTGGTGGTAAATATCTGTATGTCGAACCACTCACATGGGACAGTATCTGAATCACAAATCCAACCACCATCAATCTATCAAAAGAGGAATCTAGTAGAGTCTAGTAGATCATGCTTTTGGGTTCTGTAATTACAAAGGAAGGTCTCGAGAAGGAACTAGGCATTACTAAAAAAGATCTTCAACGGAATGGCTACTCCAAAGCGATGCTGGAACAGACTTTGGCTAGAAGACAGCAGGAGCCTAGCAAGGAAGAGAAGCCGTCACCACCAATGCTTGCACTTCCCTACCATCAGAAGATTGTCGGAAAGAATAAGAAGAATTGAGTCCAAGTACAACAACAGAACCTGCTTCAGATCCGGAAACACTATCCGCAGCAGACTCACGAAAACTAGGCCACCAAACGCGGACTGCAATTCCAAGAATTGCATTTACCGGATACCCTGTGAGTGCGGAAAATCCTATATCGGTGAAATTAAGAGGTCATTGAAAGTCCGCATTGCTGAGCACAAGAAACACACACAGCGAGGAGAAACCAGCAAATCAGAAAAAGCAGAGCATGTTTGGACTCATCAACATAACATCAAGTTAGGGGGTAACTACTTGATTGGGCCCACTTGATGTTATGACTTACAGTACCTGTAAAGACAAGAATTTCAAGAACTTTATTTGGACAGTTTCAATTTGTTGTATGCTCAACAACTAACGGATAAAAAACAGCATGGTCTGCATGTGAAACGAAAGTGAATAATCAAAATTACAGTCTTTAATTTTTTTAACTCGACTGACGAGATTGTTATAAATTTCATAAGTGAATTGTATTAGACTTTCTTTTCCAGCAAAAGACAATACATGACATTTGACAATGTCAAAATTCAAACGATTATCGGAACACCAATGAAATATAAAATCTACTTCACATTGTAAGTCTAGGCAGTTTCAATAATTTTCTGCCATTTTGACTATTTCAAGGTCATCAGAGTAGAGCAGCTTTGAATTGTTCATTATTTAAGTCAAATCATTAATACGAATTGAGTCCTAAATTCTAGTCTTGAGGCACACCAGAACTGGGAGTATATAAAGCAGATATAAAGTCTTCATACTTTACATTCTACATATTGTGTTCTATCAAGATTGGTCTACATCCCTTTTTAAAAATTGTCCATACTCGAGCTTTGTTCAAAAAGTTACGGAACTCACAAGTTTTCGAAGAAAAATTGAATATATGAAGTAGGGGATTCAGATATGATCCAACGTTGGTCATAGTATAGCTAGGGAATAAGTGTGACACGCTTTTTGTTCAAATTCTACTGTGTCGAAAGAGAAAGGTGAATGTTAGAAGAAAACATTCAAAATATTTCTTTTTTAGTTCGCTTATGTATCTCCAAGACATCAATCAGACCGATTGGATCTCAGTCATTCTCTGTAGTCAAAACCTCCTCTTCAATTTTTCCCTGCCTTGTTATATTTACCTTTTGTCCTTATGTCGTTTCAACAGCGCGACAAACACAATTATTATCTGTTTGTATTCGTCGAATCGATTTTGCTCCTACGAAAATTACGGAGAGGTATCAGCCGGTGAAATTCCTTTCAGGAGAGCAGGAAACGTTGCCATAGAGACGCGACGTGTGCACTCCAAATTGTTTCGATGAAACTTATTGCCACTTCGGAAAGTTTCAAGGTTTTTGTCCTTGGAAGTTGGGAAGTGAAACGGAATGTAATCGAAAGAATAAGAAAAATATGACGTTGAAACACGTTTCAGTATAATATAATATTTTTTTTTCGTTATGTTGGCATACATACCCCTGAAGAATGATAAAATGTTCTTAGATTTCAATGGCATAGTAAAGGTTATGTCACTGTGTTCTTAGACTTCAATGACGATGTTCAGGTTATACTCACTGTGTTCTCAGACTTCAATGGCATAGTTCGTCTTATGCTCACGGTATTCTTAGATTTTAATGACATAGTTCAAGTTATGCTCACTGTGTTCTTAGACTTTAATGGCAAAGTTCAGGTTATGCTCACTGTGTTCTTAGAATTTAATGGCATAGTTAAGGTTATGGTCACTGTGTTGTGTGTTCTCAGACTTCAATGGAACAGTTCGGGTTACGCTCACGGTGTTCTTAGATTTTAATGGCATAGTTCGGGTTATGCTCACGGTGTTCTTTGATTTTAATGACATCGTTCAGGTTATGCTTACTGTGTTCTCAGACTTCAATGGCATAGTTCGGTTTATGGTCACGGTGTTCTTAGATTTCAATGGCATAGTTCAGGTTATGCTTACTGTGTTCTTAGATTTCAATGGCATAGTTCGGGCTATGTGCACTCTGTTCTCAGACTTCAATGGAACAGTTCGGGTTATGCTCACGGTGTTCCTAGATTTCATAGTTCGAGTTATGATCACGGCGTTCTTAGATTTTAATGGCATAGTTCAGGTTATGCTTCATGTGATCTTAGATTTCAATAGCATATATCAGGTTACGCTCACTGTGTTCTCGGACTTGAATTGGAATAGTTCGGGTTATGTTCAAGGTGTTCTTAGATTTCAATGGCATGACTTGGGTTATGCTCACGGTATTCTTAAATTTTGAAGGCATCGTTCAGGTTATGCTCACTGTGTTCTTAGACTTCAATGGCGAAGTTCAGGTTATGTTAACTGTGTTCTCAGACTTCATTGGCATAGTTCGTGTTATGCTCACGGTGTTCTTAGATTTTAATAACATAGTTCAAGTTATGATCATTGTGTTCTTAGACTTTAATAGCAAAGTTCAGGTTATGCTCACTGTGCCCTTAGAATTTAATGGCGTAGATCAGGTTATGCTCACTGTGCTCTCAGTCTTCGATGGAATAGTTCGGGTTATACTCATGGTGTTCTTATAGTCTATTTCAAAAGAGTGTAGAGTAATAAAATCTCATTAAGTATTCAAAAGCGCTACAGGGTGATCCGTCAATAAATTCTGTCACTTCCCTAGTCCGCATTGCAAAATTATGTCGTTTCATAAAGAGCAGGTAGGTATCACCCTGTTTTAAGGGATTTGTCCATTGTTATCGACGGATAAATACTGAGCCAGAGGCGCGCTAGTGGGATAATTGCCAAAAGAATATGCATTCATAAAAATTATATTAAAGGAAATAAAAATTTAATACAGCAGAACAGTGTTATTAAAAAAATATAAAATGTAACAATAAAATATATACGAACCGAAATCGGGAAATACTCACAAACACACACGAACGAACTTTACGTATTGAAACACTTGTGGGGACTTTAAATCAATTTATTCACAAAAACGACAAGAACTTTACTGGATACGTTATTACAATTTGACACTTGAACAATACTAAAACTGTGAAC